AACACAGCAGGCCAAGCTGCTCCTATGATGCTGCTTGGCCTGCTGTGTTCATCCAGCCCTGCACCTTGTTGTCTCGGATTCTCCAGCATCTGTAGTTCCTACTATCTCTGATTCAATGTAAATTGACTGACTTTTTCTCTTCTCAACTGATGTGAATCATAGAATAAAATCAAAATTTAGGACAACTTACAAAGCGTGGTGGCTGTTTGCAGTTTCGTGGTTCAATTAACAGTGATTTATTGAACAAATAGTCCGTAAACTCCTTTTCATTCCTGTTTTCCATTGGATTCAGATTTTCAAAGAATTTCTATGCATTAACACAAACAGATCTTTAATATGACTTTGTGATCTACTGTAAAAATATTAGTCAAAAACTGGCAATAAAAGGTGAATTTTATGAAAGAAGTACCAGAATAGCTACCTTTATGTCAGCCTCCACTTGTAGGCAGTAGGGCTGATTCTGATACTGTTGAATTTCTCCTGTGATTTCAGCTACTTTCCTTCGTTTGCTAAAATTTATTAGTTCTTTCCCACATCGTTTTAGAAAATCTGGATTCCCTACTTCGGTCTTCAGAATATTTGTCAAATAAATACCTTTGGTCAGAAATAATTCACAAACATTGGTCTTAAAACTTAGTTCCAACATACTTAACCAATTAGAAAATAATCAAGCCAGTGATTTCAATGTTATTAGTTGCTGCTGAAAAAGTGGGTAAGAAGTTAGTGAGAAAAAAGACTTTGGTTAACAACCAAGTTGACATAATATATAAGTAGCTAACAGAAATTATGTGCTGCCATTTACCAATGCATTACAGAAGCTGGTATAATGCATAATTCATTGTTAAATTACATCAAAATACCAAATTGATAAGTAGTTGAATTGCCTACCAAAGAAAGGCACACAAGGTGGGTTTATTGACTTAAGTTTAGCTAGGTACTTCTTGAAATGGTCTTGACTTAGGTCCACTGCTTCTTCTAAAACCTTTTTCTTTCTCTCAGGCAATACCTGTGTAAAATATACAATAAAAGGTGCTATAATATAGTTTAAATAAATCAAGTGCTAGATGACTAAAAAACATTCCTAGAAGTCAAATTCCTTTAAAAAAATGACAGTTATGATAGAAATTCAACATATACTGGGATTAAAAGTAGTTTGTTTGCATTTTCTTATTAACAAAAGCACCTCTGATTTTTCATACAGGAATCACATTTGTCAAACAAGAAAAGAGGACAGGTGAGGTTTTATTCTTGAAAGGATGCATGATAAACCAATGACAGGGCAGTTATAGTTTAACCTCCGTGGTGGAAAAACTTTTAGAAATGATGAAGCAAAATAATGTAAAGACACTTGAACAAGTGTGGAAGGAAAGTCAACACAGATTTGCTGAGGTTAGAACATGTATAATTAATTTGTTAGAGCAGCTTTTCGTGCAGTAACAAGGAGGGTTGATGAGGGTAATGCAGTTAAGCTAATGTTCATTCACTTTCAAAAGGCATTATAAGATAAAGGCATTAATAAAGTTGAAGAATGGGCAAATAATTGGCAAATTAAGTTTCAACAGATAAATGTGTAGTCATACATTTTAATAGGTAGAATAAGGAGGTAACTTGTTACTTAGAAGATGCAAGTTGAGGTAGGTAGAGAAGACAAGGAATCTCAGAATACAAATGCTCTGATCACTAAAAGTTGTGCTACAAGTCAACAAGCTAACAAAACAAAAAGGAAACCATTCAACTGATTTTATTTTTAGTCTGATTGCATTGAAAAGTAGACAGGTTATGCTAAACTTGTCTCCAACTTAACTTAGACCACAGAGAGTACAGTGTACTATTCTGTTTGCCCTATTGTAGAAAGGATGGAGGCATACGGGAAAGTTTTTTTTTGTTATTCATTTAAGGGAAGAGGGCATCGCTGGCTAGGCAGCATTTATTGCCCATCCCTAATTGTTCAGAGGGCAGTTCGGAGTCAACCACATTGCTGTGGATCCGGAGTCACGTGTAGGTCAGGCCAGGTAAGGATGGTAGTTTCCTTCCCTAAAGGACATCAGTGAACCAGATGGGTTTTTCCTGACAATCGACATTGGATTCATGGGCATCATTAGATTCTTTTTAATTGAATTCAAATTCCATCTGCCATGGCAGGATTTGAACATGGGTCCCCAGAAAATTACCTGGGTCTCTGGATTAACGGTCCAGCGATAATACCACAAGGCCATTGCCTCCCCAAATGTGCAGAGATGATTTGTAAGGATAATATTAAAACTCAGTGTATTTAAAATCAGGGAAGGATTAGCAGGCTGGTCTCTTTTCTCCTGAAAAGAGGATGAGGTTTCAACACTATGAAAGATTTTAACTGAGTAGAGAAATGTTTCTCTTGTAGCTAGAAGCTATCAATATAAAATAGTAACCAAGACATCCAAAAGGGGATGCAGAAAAATGTCTTTTCCCAAAACATGTTGCGAGCATGGATTTTGCTACCAGAGGTGAATATTATAGTTCCATTCAAAGCAAAGCTAGACCACCATATGAAAAAAAAGGGAATAGAGGGTTATGACGATAGAGTAGATAAGTAAAGATGGGAGGAGGCTTAAGTAAACCACATATTTTGACATGGACTAGTTGAGCCAAATAGCCTGTTTCAATGCCATTTATCCTGTGTTTTATCTCAGTCAGCTTAAAATCCACAAATTTCTCTTCATCCTCTGAAACACTGACCACTCTAAGTTTACAAACATTGTGAAGACAAAATCAAGAACTAAAAAAAAGGAACAAATCATGATCACAAACTACATAGATTCAGTTTCATTCAAAGAAGTTTTTAATATGCACACATCAGATGCTATCAAGTGAAACCCTCAATGAGGCAGAAGTAACTGGCCACATTGGCCTTTTATATCATATATGAAAGAGAATGTGCATGACAACGCAATCCCAGCTGAAAATGGAAACTTCTGAAAACATTTTCTCTCTTATAAACTCCCCCTCACCACCACCCCTCCCTACCTCAAGCTGTTAAATTTAGATTAATACTCGCTAGCATTGGGCAAGAGTAGGAAAGAAGAGGGCAGGAAGAAGAAAAATAATTTCAATAAAGAAAAACACTTACATTAAGATTACATTATGCTTAAATTAAAACACAATTAAAAAATCAACTTAGCATCACCATCTTTTAAAATCATTGATAAGCAATGGTGAATATTAAATAAGCAAGGAAGAACAAAATCTACATATAGCATTTTCTGAATTGTGCAACTTTCTTCAAGTAGCTGCTAATTGATCGGTTATTATAATGAAACTTTATATACAGGTTCAAACTATAACTGGTCATCGTTGTACATACTGGATGAAAGATTCACATTTATCAGATTTGTTTCATGCAGGTCAATTACAAATAAGAAGATTAACTGCCTGACATATATTATTCAAATATGCAAATAGTAGCTGATAAATTGATGTCAACAATTGATTTAATTATGAATAGTACTTTCTACTTGAATAGAAGAAATAACTGCAAATATTAATTGATCAGTCGGAGGTGCAAAACAAACTAAAAAACAGTCCATGTAAAACACTCACCTCAAAAGTATGATCCAGCCTATAAACTGGCACAGAGTTTACTGTGCTGACAATCTCCAGGACACCATTAAAATTGTTGAGCTCCTGGAAAACCTGCAAGATCTCTATAATTCGACCTAAAATGGCTACTCTCTCCTCAAAATTTTCTGCTTCTACAATGCACCTGGAGGAGGCAAAATAATCAATATTCACAAGTAGAAAACATGAAAAGTATTGTGTCAGAAAATTTATACTGCCCAACTGTTCTATATTTGTCTTGCTGAAAAACACGCCAATCTCTTTTCTATATTGTATTGCAGGTGTAGTTAGCTATCAAAATTAGAGATTTTCAAAACATGGGAAGTCAAATGTTGTAAAGATAGTAAATAGAAATGCCTGATTACCATATATACTCAGTTAATAGTTAATCTTGTCTAAAAGTCCATCCTGACTTTTGCCAAAAATTTCCAACTCTATTTTACTTGCCATCCTCATGGTCGAAATCAAACTTGTCCTGGTGCAAACCTGCCAGTTCAAAGGCTACTATTTAGCTCCTTGTCTGCGCGGAGTATTAAAAATATTTTCGAAGTCCTTTTGCGCTCAACTTGTGGACAGGGCTGATAGGAACAGTCTCTGACCTTGCAACTCTATGTATTGTAAGCAATTTTAAGAAAATCAATCATTCATTGGGTAGAGAATCATTGGCTGGGCAAGTATTTATTGCCCATCTCCAATTGCTCTTGGAAAGGTGTTGGTGAGGACTTGCAGGGACCTCCCTCCTGACTGTCCACCACCGTGCCACCGGTGGCACAGGGCTACCTAGGGATAGTGATCATGTTATCAGTGCAGCCTCCGCTGAAGCGTTGTTGTGTTTTCCCGCCTGTTATTTGAACTCTGGAGTCCGTTGAGTTGGATTACCTCACTTCCGGTTTTCCTCTGCAGTGGAGTGTATATGGGGTCAAGCTCTATGTGTGGAGAGAGATGAGCGAGTATTGGTAGTGTCTTTTTGTAGCCAATTGATGTTCATGTACCCTTGTTGTTAATTTCCTTCCTGTTTGTCCAATGTAGTGTTTGTCACAGTCTCTGCAGGGAATCTTGTATATGACACTGGTCCTGTCCATAGTGGGTAGTGGGTCTTTGGTTCGGGTGAGCAGTTGTCGTAGGGTTGATGTGGGTTTGTGTGCTACTCTGATGCCCAGTGGTTGTAGGAGTCTTGTGGTCAGTTCAGATGTGTTCCTGATGTAAGGTAGCGTGATGAGTGTGTCGGGGCATGCAGTATCTTCCTGTGACAAACACTACATTGGACAAACTGGAAGGAAATTAACAACAAGGGTACACGAACATCAAATGGCTACAAAAAGACACGACCAATACTCACTCATCTCTATCCACATAGATAAGGAGAACCATCAATTCGGTTGGGACAACACCAAGATCCTGGGATAAGCAAAGCAGAGACAAGTACGGGAATTCCTAGAAGCCTGGTACTCCACGAAGAAAGCCATCAACAAACACCTAGAGCTCAACCCCATATACACTCGACTGCAAAGGAAAACCGGAAGTGAGGTAATCCAGCTCAGACTCCAGAGTTCAAATAACAGGCGGGGAAATACAACAGCGCTTCATCAGAGGCTGCACTGATGACGTTACCCAGCAGGGTAATGAAACTTGTGGAAAAACAACGAACCAGCTCGGCAAGCCAACCAACCACAACCTGAGCTACAAATCTACTCCAAAACCTTCTTGTGAACATGTTGTCTGGGACAGAGTGTGTCAGGTGAAATCCTGGGAGTATGACTACATCAGGCTGTTTCCAGATTAGTGAGTAAAACAGTTCTCCCAATTTAGTCGCTAGCCCCCAGATGTCGGTAAGGAGGGCTTACAGAGTCAGCAGGGCTAAGATTATCATAGTCGTTCCAGTGTTCATGTTAATGCCAGATGGTTTGCTTGATTTTAATCCTATTGTGAGACATTTTAAATGGTTGTTAGGCCATTTCAGAGGACAGTTGAGAGACCCACATTGATATGGGTCTGGAATCACACATAGACTAGACCAGACATAGACTAGAACCCATCACTAGGGCATTACCTGGGTCTCTGCATTATTAGTCCAATGACAATAGCTAGACAATGGAAGAGGATCAAGAAGAATAATACTTGCATACGAATCAAATCCTTACTTTATTGACAAACATTTGGCCTCAGAAACTCAATACGTACACAAGTATAAATGGCAAGTCATTTGGCTGAGTGTTTCACACTAAGTTGACCTGCTGAGTAGATGAGCTGTTTCAATTCAATGCTTTTCAATTCAGCACCTTTATTTTGAACTATTCCTATCAGTTTCCAATTCCAACCTTCAAGGTTACGGTCATCATTTCTCTTCTGGTAAGTTCCTTGTTCTGCTTCATTAGGCGAAATCAGATGTGCTGCAACCTTCCTTATTGGAAAACACTCCTCTGGGCTAGTTTTGGCTTTATGCTAAAACTGTTCCCCACTTTGATTACAAATTGTCAACCTACAAGGTAAAGCTGCCTTATGAACATATATTAAAAATGTTATCTTTGTGCTCATTCTCTGTCAAGTTTTCTGCTATAAAAATGTGATATCTACATTGTAATTACACCCCCTTTCCAGTGGAGGTCAATGACTTCTAACTCTGCTTCACACAATCTTCACTATAAATGTGCAACACCATAGGTAACCAACTCGTGCTTTAGGTAGATATCTACTACATGATGAACTTTGGAATGTGTCATGTGCATAATTTGTGGAATTGTTAGCTTCAGGAATTGACATTCTTCTGAAATCTAAAACAAAAGATACACAATTTTCTCACTGTCTTTTGGTACAATAAGTAAATAAAGTAAGATCAGGTATTTCACACCTGGAGGCAGGAACAGATGAACCCCTAAATTTAGTCAGTTATTTACTTGGAATGCTAAAATCACAATTTAAAACATCACTTCACCAAAACAAATAAAGTAGCAGCCTGGGAATGAAGTGATTATTGAGGCTACGATGTGGGCCACAAATACAGTGTTTGTTCAGCCTATTAAAAACTATGAATAGTATCCACACAACGGGAGTCAAAAGTCTATAGGGATGAGTTTTTATCCAATAACTTTGATCCAATCCAGGAAATGAAGGATCCTTTTCATTTGTGGTCTATGGAATACAGTGGTATCATGTGGCTCTTTGTCTTTGAAAGCATTTCTACATGTGAAATGGAAGGTTCCATATGACCTCTAATCAAATAAACAAATGTTGGAACTTGGTTTTATAGCCCAAGCTAACAGAAATTCAGGCTTAAAAAATGTTAAATCACTGAAATAAAATCAACTTTTGGTTCTCTAATTCTTTGGATAGCTTTAGCTTTGTAAATTACTTGGCTCAAATGAGAAATAGTTAAAGTATGTAACTGGCATATGTATATACATTACTGTGATTTTCAAATTTCCAGCATCCACAGAATTCTGCTTTTCTTTTAGAGTTTAAGTTCTGTAAATAGGTTTGTGTAGTTAATTTGACCTTTATGTATTTTCTGTTTCTTGTGACATTGTAAACACAGTTTTAACGCACTACAGTGCAGACAAGGTCTGATTCTTAATAGGACTCCAATTTCTCTGAAAAATAAAAAGCGACAGTAGCCTTTACAAAGTGACCTTATAATTTAACCATTAGTTCTTTTAACTAAAAGATACTGATAGACTTTGGAATTCTCTAGAATACGTGGACGTATCAATTAAAAATTTGGGGTGATTTTAAATTACGATGTGATGTGACATATTCTCTAAGCAGACAACAATTTACTTTGCTGGGGCCTTGTTATCATTGTAGAGATTTGTGAAGGTAGAAAGGAAAGGAGGACAAGCTGCAATTAAAAAGTTTGATTCCATTAAACAGTTGATTTCTCAAGGAACTGGTCAGGCAGTAGCAGGAAGTGATATCAGTAAGATCGTCATCATTGTTAAAGAAACCAACCATAAACTGGGCACACGTTGCCTAGCCAATCTGAGACTGATCATGTTCTGTACATGCAAGGAGAAGTCAAATGGAGTTCAGGATGCCTCTGATCATGTCCATGGCCAGTAGCTTGCAAAGTTTAATAAGCCATAACTCTTAACAGTCCAGTGTAAAGTAAGAAGACAGAGGATAACTCCAGTCAACAAAATAGAACAGAACAAGAAACATGCATTCAGTCAATCAGAATTTGTGAGCTGGTGTCCCAAAATAAATTGACTGAAAAATCACAGTTTTAATTAAGTATCATTCTTTTGTACTTATTGTGATAAACTTGATAAAATTAAATTCTTTGAAAGGTCAGCACGGTGGCTCAGTGGTTAGCACTGCTGCCTCACAGCCCCAGGGACCTGGGTTCGATTCCACCCTCGGGTAACTGTCTTGTGTGGAGTTTGCACATTCTCCCCGTGTCTGCGTGGGTTTCCTCTGGGTGCTCCAGTTTCCTCCCACAGTCCAAAGATGTGCAGGCTAGGTGGATTGGCCATACCAAATTGCCCGTAGTCTTCAGCGATGTGTAGATTAGGTGGGTTGGGTCTGGGTGGGATGCTCTGTGGGTCGGTGTGGACTTGTTGGGCCGATGGGCCCGTTTCCACACTGTAGGGATTCTATGATCTTCTATGAAACCTGTTGAAATGCACTTGTACCTGAGATGGTCTCGTAACTGGTCAGTACTAGTAGACATATGGATTGGTTGTTTGAAACTTTGTCTACAACAGTAACTGATTAAGATCATACAATTAAGATAAAGCAATAAGATAAACCTTACAAGTGGATTAAAGTAACTCAGATTCAATGATAGAGAAACTGAATCCCATCAAGCACATGCCTTGAATCCTTGGAAAAGAGTGGCTTACTGGGTAAAGAAAGCCAGCTAAAATACTTAAGTCTCCTTAATACCCCACTGAATAGGACATGTTGTTTGTGTAAATTACATTCAAGTATGGAATAAGCTGCTAAAGACTGTCAGATTTATATGTGCATAATATATAAATATATACATATTATCTTTTTAAGAGTTTGGATTTTCAAAGCAGTGGTACATGAGTGTGGTTATTTTTGAGAAGGGCTGATTAAAAATAAAAACTAGATCAGATAGTCATTCTGGACCGGGGACCTAATCCAGTATGCATCAGAAAGCATGGACCCCTGGAATGTTAATGAAAAATACTGAATGTTTTATGACAAGTGGAGTAAACACTGAAGGCCATTAGCTTGTATTTATATTAGAAAAATCAAGGATTGAAAGTTCTAGTGGAATCTCAGAGGAGACTTGACTGGAATAAGAAGCAAATATAGCCTCTCTTCTGGGAAGGGTTTTGTCTGGAGCAGTTCAAACAATAATTTACCTCAGTAGAAATGTTTAATTCGTGCAACTTCCAGATCAGGAATATTTAGCTAGAAATCTGCAGGTTACCAGAAGTTAGACATACGAGTATAAATGTAAGAATACTTCACAGTTCACAAGAAAGAAACTAGGGAGAATCAACTCAAATTTGAAGTTTGACATGGAGATATAATTTCTTTGGATGAATTGCTATAAAGTGACGATGTTGGGAGATAGGTTGAAACTTTTTGCTTTGGTGGGTATTTTAAGATTTTTCTAACTGTGATTTATATCTACATAGTTTATTTTTCTGTCTCTTTTGTACATTAAACTTCTGTCCTGTTGTTTAAATAAAGCTCTGTAGCCTTATGTAACTATATTTCAGTGAATAACCACCAAGTTCACTAAAATAAAAACAAATAATCTGTCAGGCCAAGTTTCATTCTATGATCTGACTTGTCTAGCAGTATCATCAGCTGGGAACATAAGAGAATTACTTAACTTGAACCGTGATCGTGACAGGAACTCCAAGGAGGACAATGAAAATATTTTAGATGTGTCATCAAAGCATAACACTGAACTGGTTAAACATTCATCACTGGCTCATAACCGACCCAAATAGAGGAAGTTAATTTGTGAAGGCACCAAAAACAAAGTATTTGTCAGATACACACTCAAGCAACATCTAGACACTAGACAGCACACAAATCATCAAACAATTTATTTATTGAACCGTATGACCCCCTACCTCACTGCATGTGACATATCTGCAGATTGCACATTGAACTAATCAACCATTTCAGAACCCAATGAACCCAAATGAAAGCAAGACATCTTCAATGTTAAGGGACTGCCTAAGATAGTTTTTGTTTTGTTTTTAAAAGGGCTATGGCTATAGATGCAGTTTAAAGTGACAGTTTAATTTGGCTCCTATGTCTCTTTTCTGTCTTATTCTTAACACTTCAGAAATTATGTTTAAAAGGGTCCCAGCACAACTCAACATGTCATCAAAAAACTTTTCCAATTATCAAACACAAAACAAGTTGCTGAGGAAATGCTGAAGGCAGGAAAGAAAGGCAAAGCCAGACAATATGACAGAACAAAATATTACAAAACTGGTATTTAACCAACCAGGTTAAAGTGATGCCACTCTTACAGCTGCCATACCATTTCTTGTGTTGGGCGGTCATACTGACAAGAAATGCTCGCTCAAAAAGGTCTGGTTGAACATAATCATGGAAAGTTGTAATTTTTTGATAGGACCCTTGCATCAATAAACATCCATATATCCTTACTTTCATTAAAGTAATTCAGAATAATACTCTCAATCAAATTACTTTCCTGTCCCAAGGGAATACTTAAAGCATCACTGTACTGTCAAGGTTGCGCACTTGTCTGACGATCAATGATTCAACCACTCTAGCCAATTGTGATAATACTATGGCTTTAAAGAGGTGTATTTTGTCCTAATACTTTTTTTTAACGAAGGTTGAGACAGAGGTGCCAAGCACTCTGCTCAAAGCCAATGAAGTAAACAGCTTGAGAGACCCTGGGGATTTTTTTTAACGTTAGAATAACAGAAGCAGCCTGAATGGATGGGGTCAATCTCCCACAGTATCAGGATTTTTAATTTTAGCTCTCAGCAGTTGCTCGGGTCTTGAAGCTAGATGTGGAAACTCTCATTCCTCCATGTTACAGTTGAAAGCCAGAGTTCTCTTCCTGCTGAAGTTGCATGTGGGAATCTATTTTACTGAATTTGCCTCTGCCAAATTTGCCTTTGTTTATGGGATGTCACTATATTGGAATATTTAATTAGTAGTAGTTAATATATTTATTATTTTGTTAAGCATTTCAATAGAATTACAGTTAAGCCAATTCTTTTATATTAACTAGGCTAAAAATAAAATGTGTTTTGCTTAAAGTCGAGTAGTTTGACCAATCAAATTGCATCTGGAATGCAATGTCTTACACTTACCTTTAAAATAAGAAAAAGTTAGGGTCTAAGCTATCTTCAAAATATATTTTGATGGGGCTTGGTCTGGTCCATGACACAATAACTGCCTAATATAGACAATACTCCTGTAGCATTCATCCATAATGATAAAGGCATTAACAAAAAAATGAGGTTCGGGTGGGATTATTGGAACCACAGAAGGCACAACAGTAAACATGCAGGTTTGAAAGTCATATTAAAACAATTTTAAACAATTACTCTCCAGGAACACAGTCACATTCATTTATAGACCAGCATTCTACTTACTTTTCAAACCACAGAGTAAGGTTTGTTGTATGTCGAATCATTTTCAGTAAATTTGGAGAATTTAGCTCTTTGTTTTCTTTTGTCCAGACGCTACCCACAAGCTCAGATGGTTGAACAGCCCTGTTAGAAGAAATTAAAATATAGAGAACATTAATTTGGAGATTTCAAAAATCATTACCTATAATCATAAGGGCAAAGTCACATCTAATTATAAGGAGGTCTGCAAAAAGGAAATTTTATATTTTTCACTTTTACGAGGTCTTAAAAATATACATTCGAAAGCACTTGAATACTATAGAGCAAACATTTTTAATTGCTAAAGGGATAAAGTTTCAGTCATGACTATTTGTGACAACATTGATATTACAAGTTGTGCATACATGAAATTGCAACAATTATTGTCTGACCCCAAATGCACAAGTGGAAGTAATAATTAAATCAAATAATATTTGAGACTTGGCACAACCCAGTATGCAAGCTGACCACTTCTGCATTGTATCAACATGCTTTCCTTAACTTATAATATAGATTGCTTATAGAAATCATACATTTCATTATAATTCAACCAACTATTCTATTGATGGTCCCTTTTTATACACTTTATATCTTTCACTCTATTTTGAATTCATTCAACTTTCTCATTAAGCCCTTATTATTTTTAACATGAAGTGCATCTCAACCCTTTTCTTGCCATAGCAATGTAACAGGGAAAAATTGACTTGAAACAAAAATCAACAAAGCAAGATTTTTAAATTAAAATATAAATGCAGAAGTATTATGCGGAACAGCAAGCACTTTGAATTACCTGAATGTTTTAAATGGATTACCACATTCTACTGTCAATTGACATTGCAAGAGGCTACCTCACAATCATATATGTGATCTTCTGCAAAGTAAAAATTGTACAAAGACCACCAAAATTAAATGAGTTCACTACTGAATTAGCAGAAATTATTTTTGAACATACCGCTTGTAGGAAGAAAAGTATGTCTAAAGTGAACAAGGTAAAGTTGCCATAGTCTTAGCAGACCATAGGACTGCTCCCTCACTAGAGGTAACAAATTGGTGGGGTTTAACTTTAGAGCCACCATTCTTCAGGTAAGAAGAGAGGTTGACAAGGAGAATGTGGGAATTGAACCCACATTATTGGCATCAATCTGCATTACAAAACCGCCATTCAACCAACCCTCAACTGAGTGAATACATAAACAAGTATTCAATTTTATTTATGTTTTCTCTGAAATATTATCAAGTTTTAAGCTATCGGCAGATCACTTGCTACGTGGCATGAGCCATTTTAGGATCTATAGAAAATTATATTTAAGTGCAAAGTATGTTTAAACAAATTTAGAATTCTCACTTCATTAAGTCTTACAATTATTGATTCAAAAGGCACTTATTTGTTCATAAAAGGTAAAGTCACCATAGTCAAACAACTGAGCTAACTGGCACCCTTATTTGTTCATGTACTAGGCATCTTTTTATTCATTCACGGGATGACAGCGTCACTGGCTAAGCCAGTATTTATTGCCCATCCCTAATTGCCCAGAGGGCAGTTAAGACTCCACCACATTGTTGTGGGTCTGGAGTCGCATGTAGGCCAGACCAGATAAGGATAGCCATTTCCTTCCCTAAAGGACATTAGTGAACCAGATGGGTTTTTCTGACAATGGGTTCATGGTCATTATTTGACTCTTAATTCCAGATTAAGATGTGCATGTAAGATTTATACTGAATCAATCTAATTCATTTTAGGAATAGCATTGTTCAATATCAAATTCAAACAGATGCAATAAGGCAATTGTTTTCCTACAGAATCATTAAAACAAAATGGAACTATCATTCAGAGAACAGGAGACGCTGTTCGGGTCTCAAGAACGAAAGATCAGCTGGTGGTTGGGCAAGTGGAGACACCAGTTTCATTGATAAGCTGACAACTAACTGAATGGGGAACAAGTCAGTGGGACATCTTTCCACTTTCTGTGAAGAGACTGAAAAATACAAGAAGTCATGTGTGAAGGTCAGTCACACCAGTTATGTCTAAAACAAAGATTAGCTAACGAGGGAGGATTAGTTCATCGGTTTATTAAACAACAGGCTAGACTGCTAAAGTTAAAATACTGATCTTGCATTTACAATGTTCAAGATATCTCAAAGTGCATCACTAGTTAAAAAAATGCAGTCCTCGTTATCGTGTAGTATGTGTACAGCAAGGCCCCATAAATGGGATGAATAAACAATGAGCTGTATACTAATGTTGGTTGTGGGACAACTGTTGACAAGAATATTGGAAAAAATCAATCTTGCTTTTTGAATAGTATTGTGGAACCTATTACGTCCATTTTTACTTTAATATCTCATCTGAAAGTAAGGTAGTCATTAAGAATAACATCATAAGAGGAGCATGACATTTTTGGACACTATGAAACGTTTGAAATTAGTTAAGAGGAGACTTGATTCTAACTAGTACTAATTACAAATATCAATTGCCAGATGAAAATAATTCAATTCAATTGTTTCACCAAAGTATTTTGAGGCTATCAATTGAAACATTGGAGAAGACCCTAACTTGATGCCCCAGGGCTATACTGTACTGCCATTTTCTAATTAAACATGCTCTAAATTATTGACACTGCTTACAGAGACTTTAAAATACAAATCCAAAATTTGTAACTGGTATGTCTTGAAGACAACTGTATAAAAGTTTGAACTAATTACTGAGGAAGTACTACATTCAAAGTGAGTATGCAGGAAGTGCTGAACTAACAGTGAATATGACAATATGCAGCAAATTTCTATTATTTAACTGGTCCTGGAAATTATTTGGTAATTATCTTTTGGATCTCAGATTTTAACAACCTTACAAAGTGTTTGTGCTGAACTTTAATAAAATCCGAAGCTACAGGCTCTTTACATTAGCTAAATTACTATTTTACCTGTAAAGATCAGATTCTAAAAGTGTAAGCTGTCGTGCTATTTCAATTGGATGAAGAGTCATAAGATCAAATGTCTCAATTTGCCCAGGTCGACTAATATGCCATTCAATTTGAGGTGGTGGATCCGGAAAAGTAATAGCATGACTGATTCCATTTACTTGAGTTTGTCTCTTGCGGTTAATAATTTTTGTAATAGATTCTACCCACTTTTTCATGGCTTTCCCTGCAAAAATAAAATATTAACTTGCATTACGCAGAATACAGATTTTAACAACATCAGGCATAAAGTAGCAAGGCTAAAAGCTGTCTGTTTTGTTTAAATATTCATTAACTCTTAGACTTAGAGCATAAGAACATAAACACCAGAAATAGGTGTAGGCCATCTGGCCCTTGGAGCCTACTCCGCCATTCAATAAGATCGTGGCTGATCTTTTCATGGCCTCAGTTCCATTTACGTGCCCTCTCACCATAACCTTTAATTCCTTTACTGTTCAAAAAACTATCTTAGCTTTAAAAACATTCAGTGAGAAAGCCTCAACTACTTCACTGGGCAGAAAATTCCACAGATTCACAACCCTTTGGGTGAAGAAGTTCCTCCTCAATTCAGTCCTAAATCTGCTCCCCTCTAATTGTGAGGCTATGCCCTCTTGTTCCAGTTTCACCCGCCAGTGGAAACAACCTCCCTGCTTCTATCTTATCTATTCCCTTCATAATTTAATATGTTTCTATGCTTCTACTCTTCAAAATTCCAATGAATATAATCCCTATCTATTCAGCCTCTCCCTCAAAAGCCAACCCTCTCAACTCTAGAATCAAACTAGTGAAACTCCTTTGCAACCCTCTAGTGCTAGTACATCCTTTCTCAAATAAGGAGACCAAAACTGCATGCAGTATTCCAGTGTGGCTTCACCAGCACCCTACACAGCTACAACATAACCTCGCTGCTTTTAAACTCAATCCCTCTAGCAATGTAGGTCAAAATTCCATCTTTTTTCTTAATTACCTGTTGTATCTACAAACCAAACTTCTGTGATTCATGCACAAGGACACTTAGGTCCCTCTGCACAACTGCATGCTGCAATTTTTTACCGTTCAAATAATAGTCCCTTTTGCTGTTATTTCTACCAAAATGGATGACTTCACGTTTATCAACACCGTACTCCATCTGTTAGACCTTCACCCACTCACTTAAACTATCTATATCCCTCTGCAAACTTCCAGTGTCCTCTGCACATTTTGCTCTATCACTCATCTTAGTGTCATCTGCAAACCTTAACACAAAAAATGTGGTCCCCAACTCCAAATCATCTATTTAAAATTATAAACAATTGCGGTAACAGCAGTGATCCCTGAGGCACATCCTATGGATGACTTGCATGGATTGATTTCTCACTTGGGTTTAATCAGCCTGCTGGCACCATTTATGAAACAACATAGTCAACTTCTTACATTTAAGCCTTACAATGGGTTGATAGTACAAAAACGAGACTATGATAATGAGTTGATATTTCATACTACTGCTGTTGAGTTTACTGCTGTGGATTTAGACAGGACTGCAGGAGGTCAGGGCATTACTGCATATAACATAAAAACATGTACTTTAAACAGTATTTTTTTGAAAAAGGCAAGCATACAAATAAAAGCACCACAACAAAGAAAAGTGAAGTTGCAACAAATGTAAAGGATCTGACAGAAAAGATCGTAGGAAATTGTCAGAAAACTGAGTTTTTAATACTACATAATTCAATTGAATAAAGTCGATAGTGAAGTAATAAATCTACAGCAATGAAACTTTTTTCCCAAAAAAAAAGCCAACCTCCGACAGATCCAGTTTTCCATAATACACACCTTTCACACTTGAAATAAATGCTTCCAACCTATTAAGTAGCATATTATCCCTCTCAAAGTCATAGAAATGATGTTCTACCCAATGTCGAAACACATTTAGCACCCTAAAAAGAAAACAGGTTGTTAAACCAAGTAATAAAATACCACAATACCCTTTAAGTTAGATGAATATTGTTAAAAATGTCTTGCATTTAATATACAATTTCACATTGTTCTATAACTGTCAATAATCTTTTAAATCAGAAAGTACCAGCTATGATTATAAACTGGTCAATCACATAAGCTGTAACCAGCTTCTGTCACCTGTTTGTGCCCATTTGGAGCAGAACCTTTACCAACAAGCAGCTAAACATGACAATCATACCCTGTAGAAGAGTCTACCCAACAACATCATTTCAAATCCACTTGGTTACTGTAAAATTGTTCTTCTATTTTAAAACAGTTATGCTGACAGTTATGCCAAGATAGAGTCGTAAGATATTGCACCATATACTCTTTAACAACTTACAATTGGTTTAAAAGTACACATTAGTGCTCATTTTTTTCTCTTTGGCACAATTTTAAAATTACACTGAGAAACAGAAACCTGGAAAACACAACAATAAGAAATACAAGGGATTCATAAAACTCTACATAGATGCTTTAACAAGATAGTTTTTCCAATGAACAGCAGCTGATATTGGCATAGGTGAAAGCTGGGGAAGGAAACTTCTTTTTGTTGATCTTTGCTGTCCATGCTGGCTCAAATACTTCCTAGAAAAATGTCTCACCATTCAGATGAAAACTGGATCTTTAACTGCTTTTCTGCACGTCAGGCATTTCCTGTTAAGTTTGAACTCAACCAGGTATCCTGAAATGTGTTCTCGAGCAATTTGCTGAATCAATTCCATGTGTCTTCCACATGCTTACCAGACTCTACTGCCAAAGAACTTCTGGATGGAGGCTGGAGGAAAACTCTACATATTCAAATCACACACTCTCACATGGAAGATATATTCTAGGTACCATACCAAATAAAATATCAGGAATAATGTACAAGCAGTTCCCTGACTGTAGGCATGGTACAGCTAGTATACGTCATGATCCTGGAATTCATGCTACAACCAGGCTAGGGACAAGTAGTCTTCTTCTTTTAACAGAAGTAGACAAATGTGAGATCAAGAATAATGCTACAAGATTCCAAGGTTTTGAACAAACAACAATATACTTAACCGTACTCAGCTAGAACAGTAATGCAATTTACTATACATACACATCTTATTTCGAACATCTACAATTAAACTGAAGTAAATAGAGGTTAGCAGACAAACTATGGTTGAAAACCTACAGACCATATCAAATAACACATGGTCAAGACTGATTCTTTGGACGTCTCAAACTTTCCCAAATGTTCATGACACTGCAAATCATCAAATCGAATAAAACTTTATACAGGATTCCAATTTCCAATCTCTTTAAGGGTTAACTTCACAGTTCCTTCAAAAACAGCAATGTCATTGACGACCTCAATAATTTTGTTTGCTCACTCTCACAATTAGGACTGCACTCACCTGGAAATGGCAAACTGCACTTCAGCACCTAACCCAGGTATTTCAGTTTGTCCACAGACAGCTAGTTTCACCAAGCTGGTACTGCCCCACCATACTACCCCCAGCTCTGATCTGGATTAGCTGCAAAGGTAAATGCTGCTTATAGCCATCCTTTACCTTTCCTCGCTACGGTACTGAATTATTAATAACAAATAGCTTCTTCTGAGCCCTAACAGTTTTTATACCTCCTCCCGAAACCTAACCCCAACTCTTAGCAAAAATTCAGGAAGTGCTTCTGATTCTTAACAGCTCCAAATCTACAGTATCAGCAGCTTTATAGGATTAAGCTTCTGTTCCCTGCTCCCAAATGCCTTGCTGCCTAGCAGCCCAAAGGCAGGATCACTCCTGTCAAATTGCCTAAAACTGACTGTTCACCACTCTGGGTGAGCCACTGAAAACTTTATATCAAGCCCCATCCTTGTTGATGAACAGCACCGAATATAGCTAACGTTTTGGAATAGCAAATATGTCGACCTCTTGGAAATGTTTTATCGCTGAACGTTATAACATTCAGAGATTCCTGGCTTGCAAGATACGAAAAAGGATGTAAAAGAGGATTTCATCACAAGGTACCAACTGTGACTATATTTCTATCAAAAAAACAAGTAAATGAAAACCTGAGTTGCACTGGCTGGATGTACTCCTTACGAAACCGCTTCAATTCTGCACTAATTGTCTGTTCACCCTTCTCTCTGGCGAGCTTATCTGCCTCAGTGGGCTCTGGGTCAGGTATTTCAAATCTACACAAAACAAAAATTACACGTTCAACAAAAAATATTTATTACAAATGTAAAGCTCCAGAAGCAAAAATGTGGCTAACGGTAGTAGTACTGGCAATGGTGCATACCAACCTTCGTGATTTTGTAAAAGCCAACTGACAAACAATACACCGTCTTCTATGCATCTTTCTTGACAACATTTTACAGGGCCCCCAGCAGTGTTTTTTTTTAAAAAACAGATCTAGTTAATACTTTAATTCCTTATTTACCTTTCTATTAACAAGCTCAGCAGCTCTTGGGGTTTGCAGAATGAACGATACGTTGTTAGAAAAGTGCGCACAAAATTAGGATCTGTAAATAAATATCAAATTACTTGTATTGCAAGTACAATAGCAGCACATTTATCAATAAGTTACATTATAAAATAATAACTACTTGGGCAAAAATTAAACTGTTTGTTGAAACAGCATAATTAGGTGTATCGGCAAATGAGGGTAGATTACCATCTTTTAGTTGGGTGGAAATTGGATTTGAATCCAATCGAAGCTGACTGATGAAGTTTCCTGTCTCAGATAGCTATACATGTCAAAGTGAAATTAAGCAGTGTAGTGACAATTCCTTGCAGCTGTGACTCCACAGGACAAAATCAGTAGTATTTACATTGTTGGAACAAACCAAGTATAAACTCAAAACAAATCCCACCTTCTTCAGAATAGTGTAATAACATCTGTGAACAGGATGATTAGAAAATATCTACAATCAAAACTGTGGGGCTTTTGTGGCACAGTGACATTGCCCTTACCTCTGGGCCAGACAGCCCAGGTTCAAGTCTCAAACAAAAAACAGAAGTTGCTGGAAATGCTCAGCAGGATTGGCAGCATCTGTGAAGAGAAATCAGAGTTAACATTTAGGGTCTTGTGACCCTTCCTCAGAACTGATGGCAGCTAGGGAAATGTTGGTTTATATGGGGTGGCAATGGCCTAGTGGTATTATTACTGGACTGTTAATCCAGAGACCCAGATAACATTCTGGGGACCTGGGTTTGAATCCTGCCACAGCAGAAGATGGAATATGAATTCAATAAATATCTGGAATTAAGAGTCTAATGATGACCATGAATCCATTGTTGATTGTTGGAAAAAACCCATCTGGTTCACTAATGTTCTTTGGGAAGGAAACTGCCTCGTCACAATTGGTGACAAGGTGCAGGGCTGGATGAACACAGCAGGCCAAGCAGCATCATAGGAGCAGAAAGGCTGACGTTTCGGGCCTAGACCCTGCATCAGAATTGGTACCTTGTGACAAAATCCTCTTTTACATCCTTTTTGTGTCTTGCAAGCCAGGAATTTCTGAATATTATAACATTTAGCAATATGACATTTCCAAGGGGTTAGTATGTTTGCTATTCCAAAACATTAGCTACATTCACTGCTGCACGTGAACAAGGATGGCACTTGATGCAAGGTTTTTAATGGCTCACCCAGTGGTTCAAGGGTTACTGAACAGTCAGTTAGGGAAGGATACAGCCTATCCCCACCAATCATTTACTCCTTACGCCCTCCCACACCCTATCTTCTGTACATAAACCAACATTTTCTTAGCTACCATCAGTTCTGAGGAAGGGTCACAAGACCCAAAACATTAACTCTGATTTCTCTTCACAGATGCTGCCAGACCTGTTGAGCTATTCCAGCAACTTCTGTTTTTGTTTCTGATTCACAGCATCCACAGTTCTTTTGCTTTTTTTTAAATCGGGTTCAAGTCCCATTTGATCCAGAAAATTTCGGGGCTGTTGTGATGCAGTGGCTGTGTCCCTAACTCTAAGACTTGGATTCAAGTCAAACCTGCTCCAGAGGTGTGCTACTACACACCTGAATAGCTTGATTAGAAACATCTAAAACAAAAACCATAGCAGACAAGCAAAAACAAAATCACAATACAACCAGAGGTACACCTGAAAGATCATAAAAGAAGCAAGCCAACGAAGCAGTGTGATGTGAATGACATCTTTAATTTTATCATATTACACGTGACAAAGATCAAGAGAGAAGGTAAATCGAGGCAATTAAGATGTGGAAGAGAGAAATAGAGGGAGAGATGGGAAGTGGGTGGGGTGTACAGGACCAGATATCCTCAGGAGGAAGAGAGGAGGAACAGTGACAGGGGAGGTTAAGGGAAAGGGCGGGAGGCTACAATCACAGTACAAGTGAAATGTGGTAGTAACAGGTTCACAGGAAACCTGACAAGAATGAAACAACCTGAAGAGTGAAGACCAGACACAAATGGATAGGCAAGCAAGAGCAGGATGAAAAGAAAAATGCAGGAACAGGGGATAAAACTCAGATTTTAGTAAAGGATTAGTTCAAAAGAAAGCTACAGTGACGAAGAAATAAATCGGTGCCTCACGTTCAATAATGAAATTTACAGCACAGGAAGTGGTCTTTTGGCCCACTGTGTCTGTGTGAGCCATGTAGATATCCAGCTTAATCCCACTTTCGAGTTTGAGGTTCCTAGCTTGTGAGTGCATATCGAAGTACTTGTTAACTGTTATGAGTAGTTCTGGCCTTACCATCCTTTCTGGCAATGAGTTCCAGATCCCAAACACTCTGGTTGAAATTATTCATCGTCAAATCCTTCCTAAACATCCCACATCATACATTATAGTTATGACCCTAATATAATGCCTCAACCAAAAGAAAAAGAGATTTCCTATTGATAATATCTAGTTCCCCTCACATTCACTCATATACACTACATATTGGTCTCCACTCAGCAGGTACAATCATTGTCTAAGGTTTAGATGTGGGACTCATCATTTATGCAAATGAGATTGATACATTGTATACACATGGATCATATTATTGCACAAATATGCACAAATCTGTGAACTCCGGTGCTAAACGTTGGAACTTATCACACTTACAAATTATCCTCAACACATTGGCTTAGTTTTCAGTTCTCCGAACTACTTGTGATTCCTGTCCAAGACCAGTGTTGTGTGGGTGTTTAATTTTAGGTTTCATGCTGTAGTGTCAGAGGTGTAAGGGTCGATTTAAGGTTGAGAGCCCTTTTACAGCTGTACAAGACTAGTTTCTTTATTTTGTTTTACATATGTGTCAAAAAAATTTAGACTCCTCGTTGCAACAATTAAAATGTATTCAGACAGTTAAAAAAATTCAGCGTATGATTTACAATTAGCTTCAATTCAGTGGTGTAGCTGCCAACCCATATAAAACCACCATGCCAGAAATTTATTCAAATGATATTCCCAGCTAACTTCAGATAACCACAACATTTAGATGGTGAACAAATACGTTGTGCTTTACTGCACAGTCATTTATTTTGATATGCAACTCAACTTTAAACTGGTGTGTCAAAACACCTGACCAATACTACATATTGTGTACATATTGTAGTAAAATTTTAATGAGAAATTCCATCTATTCAGCCAGACATTTACCTGCGTACATGTGGTATGTCAGCCTCTCAATCAGTTTTAGCACACTCCCTCCTTTTATAATCGGTATTCCAGATTTAGCTTGTACACTCTCTTCAAATACTATGTTCTCTTCAGAGTCTTCTTCCGCAAAGTTATATACATCTGGACTGGGCAGTCTCAGTGGTTGCTCCTTCGCCTCATGTAAAAGAACTGTGTCTAACATTCGCTCCAGTGTACTCCGATACTGAAGTGAAATCAAAGCCGCCATCCAGTTGTTTTTATCTTCTGCAGACTTAGCAGCAAATATTACACTGTTCTCATCCTTGGAGAGGATTTCAAATGCATGCTTGCATTCACCAGAGTTATCTTTGTCAATGATTTTCACTTTCCGCATTAGAAATTTTTCTTTGAGTCTGTACTCGACGTTGCTACAACCTGGTAGCCGGGACTGTCCATGATTGATCCTGCAACTGATCATTAAACCATCGAAAAGAAAAATATGCCGCTCATGCTTTGCTCCTACTCGGGTTAGTGTTCCTTCCATTATAAATTCATTACAGCACTGTCCAATATCTTTACCTTCCCATCCATCAATGTTTTTCTGGATTTCGTTCATTTTCTTGATGGCAAGGTGCTTACTTCTTATCTGGTGGTTGTAAAGGCGAGGTAAAGGCTGACTACATAATACAGAAAGTAAAATATTATTACATTTCTTTACACAATGAACAATCCAGCAAGAGAACAAGCTGTTTGCACGTTATTGTGTCATATAATTTTTATTGTGTACTTATGGAAGTGGAGGATTCAAAGACTAATTGATCTTCAAAGAAAACAATTACAAAAGAAATTGTCCTCAAAAGTATATTAATCAATATACAGGATATCAGGGCTGGAAACTGCAAAAGATTTCCCACTTGAGTAAATATTAAGCAGTTACAAGAAGAATATGGTTTAGTGCAGAGTAAAACTCATTTGACTCTATCCTATCAATAGGCTTATGTTCCTCTTCATACTACATAATGTGACTTTTTCCACATCCCATACTAACCATCCTATGGTCTTAATGAGACAAATAATTAACTACTACTTCATGTTAGTTAAGGACACTTTCTGCTAGGGACAGACATCCACTAACAAAGATCTTGAGCCAATCCAAAACAATTTTAAGAATTTACAGTCCATAAAGACTGTTAGTTTGTCAAGTCTGAGGTGAATTCAAGTTAGAGCTTGAATGATGAACTGTATATCTGATTTTCTTTTTCCTTTTGGTTTGTACAATTAACTAAGGCTTTGATCATCATTTAACACTCGAAGATCGAAATGGTATTCGCCTTTGCTTCCAATTTTTTAATGCAGGCTTCTCCTTATTTTGACTATGCTAATGTCAGTAATAACAAATTTATTAAAGGAACGGCACCTGCAATTGGCACTACTCTTCATCTAACTAAAACATCCCACTTACATGGCAATGTTAAAAAAGATGCTCAATAATAAAAATAACAAGGTAATTCAAGTACAAAATAAGTTTTTAAAACTAAAATATCGACTGTTTTAAAGCATTCCAAAATCTTCTGAATGAAGATAATTATGGTCTCTCAAACAATTAGTTTGTATTTGTAGATAATGTGACAAAATCGGTCAAAATGGTTCCTATGCAAAAGTGAAAATACTAAAATGATTTAGCTTACCCAGCCCTGCGTTTAGGTAGGTGCTTGTTGCAGATACGTTCCATACTACACTGAAGATTCAGCAAAGTAGTAATGGCTTGTTTCAAACACTCTCTGTCTTCTTCATCTTCACTTCGCTCCTGTAGTTGCTACAATTTTACACAAAAGCATTAAAGGCTTAGTGTGAAACTAACACAGGTATCCAACAATGTAAAAACAAAATCAATATTGAAACAATCCTTTTAAAGGCATTTTTCATATTTTACAGAAGGTAGTGACCATATGACTTTTACTTCCTGTATCAAAAAAGAAAACTGCTACTGAAATAATATTCTGTATGTGGGGGGAAAAAAGTGGCAGAAAACTACATGAATACATGAAGGTAATATCATGAAAGCCAGTCATTTGGATTCTTGTAAATGATAGATAGCTATACAACATAACAGTTCTTGACATTGTATGAAGCACTGAGGCACACTAAAATGATGCAAACCACAAACAATGGATTTTTAATCAAATAAATCCTATTTACAAGTGTAGTTCATACTTTAGAACAGAGGACACAAATCACTGTAAATCTTTCAATGTCACTCGTGCCTGCGTACAAGGGTTGTTTGTAATTAAGTTTCCCCTGACTAATGTCCACGAAATATAAGGCACATGTTTTAAGTCAGAAAAGAATTCAGAATCCATTAAACTGTTAAACCCATGCAATAATGAGTTATACGAGTTGTTAAAGGACTAAAACAAGAACTACATTTTTAATCAGCTGGGATGACAAGTCTATCTTCAGTTCCATGCCTTTATCTCCTGATGTCCTCCCTCTTCATCCCCCACCTCAGCCATCCACTCAGGTTCTGCAGTCACATGCTGCTTCCTGTCTCACTGACTGACTCTGGCTCCACACAAGCGCTCCAGACTTTGTAGACATCCTCTAGAGCTCTGAATCCTATTGGACATTGGCCAAGAGCAGCTGAGCAGTCAGAGCTGCAACCTCTGTTGATGATTTAGAGATGATGCATATGCCCGTGCTGAACTTTAACAATCTAATGTTGCGTTTGTTCCATTTACGAGCATATAAACTTTAGTTATATGCACCTCCTTCCTACCTTGCAGATACTTGCTTTCTGCCTGGAAAATGGCAGTCTCACTGGTGAAGAATGATTAAGACTTAAATCTGAGCAACTGGCGATTGTGAAAGACATCCTTGGCTCTCTGCAGGACTTTTATGGACAGGAGCACGTGGAGGAAAGAGCACACATAGTGAGTTTAACAAGTAATTGCCAGACAGACATACTGGTGCAACCTAACTGAGCCTCAACACTATCAGGGAATGCCAAGTTTCCCAGGCAGCAATGTATACCACCAGCGGTGCAATGGCCACACAATGTTCCTCCTCCAATGAACAGACTCTGCACCCTGGCCCATATGCAAAGTGAGAATGAGACATACAAACTTCTCAAGTAGTGATAATCACCTCCTAGGAAATAGAAATCACTAATTAAGAACTCTCAGAAACAGCACTACCTGAGTAAATGTCTTTCACGTAATTAGGCAGGGAAGCAGCTGAGAGGTTTCAATACTCTCATTTCTTCAGCCCACTTAATTACAACAGTGATTTCACTTAGCTTTCATTGGTGAGTTTGTGGAAGTCCACGTATATATGGGAAATCCAAAAATTTCCTTAAGTTAACCCATCGAGAGCTATTATCATAAATTGCTATGTCACCTATCTGAAGAGGAGTAGCTCACATGCAGCCTAACATATCGCAGTTAAATACAGAAGTTGGTGGATTACAGCTAGATTTCCAACAAGCTGTCAGTTTCAGCACTTTTAAACCTCAATCTCCTCTGTAACTTCAAACAGTCAGTTTGTTTAAGTTCTCTTTATTGAATCAAATTGAATCAAAAGCCCATACTATTCAGGCATCGATCAGGGAGTGGTGTCTTAAGTGATGCTAGACTATGAAAGAATTAAATGTTATTTATTTATGTAAATGGATAATTGATTGCACTTATCGATTGTTCATTTTATGAAAAGAAAAATACCACTTAATAAGAGATTCATTGCAGAGATATAATGGATACTTGCTTGATAAAATTAATCAACCTGACTATGCAATAGCCATCTGGACAATGTGCAAAAACACCTGCAAAGAAAAGACAGTTGATGCCAGACAGTTGAGGCAATGTTTCCTCTAAGCTACGTGTGGGCAACCACTCAGCAATCGAAAAGTTGCAACATAAGCTACACACAAATCATCTCCTTTAAGAAAATGTGTGCGTGCAGATGTACATAGAATATCCTTCTGAAATCATATGTACAGCCCTAAAGTCTGTTTATTGGCACGAAGCATAATCCATCATTTCTAATCATCGTTTCTAATTTATTTACTTAGCAGATTAGCACCACTGCATACATCTTTTACTAGTTAAAATCTATCATCAAGTTTATCTTGGAAACTATTTATTTAAATTGGAAACAAAGACGTTTGCAAATAAGCAGCATTTGGCATATTCCAATGTAATCTTTTAGGAGATTCCAAAAGGGAGGCTACATCAGGCTTGAAACAGTAGATTGTCAGAAGACGGCAGTGCAGATCACTGATCTTGACACCAAGTCCAACTGCACAGTTAATATTTACAAAAATACATAGGAAAGTATATTAAAACTACACTATTATACATGGCATAAAGGGAAGGAAAAAATATTCATTTTCCTATTTTATATTAATTCAACACATTTTAGGTACACTGATGCAGAATTTCTTACCTGCAACAGTTCGAAGTAATGCAAACAATGATATATTGGGACTAACAGTAGTTGTGGAAGTACATACTGAACAGCTTCTTTGAAACCTTCAGCAATAGACTAGAAAGTAAAAAACATAATTAGTAATAGACAGATTACAATTTACTGCAATTAGATTATAACGTATAATGAAAATCATGGAACATTGAAGAATCCAAAATCAGATTTCTTTTCAACTACAACTCCAGATTTGTATAAAAATTAATGCACCTGTACGGCTGTTGAAATTAAATATTTATGGCTTTTATTGTACTATTAAAATAGGAAGGTGATTACATAATCTCACTGCTACAAAAAGCAATTCTCATACAGAATATTGAAGAACAGCAAAATATTTGAAGCAATATGTCATTAACAATACTAGATTTCCACAATAGATGGAAAAACAACAGACTGGCTCAGATAATCTGGTCTCTGGATAGTCGGAGACCAGACATGGTCTGAACACAGATACTGGAACCACATGGAAGTCTCAATGCACTGACTATGTAGTAATTGCTCAGAAGTTGAAACTTCTGATGGGCAATTAACCAGCATCTTGAGTATACTGAAAAAGTTCCCAAATCCCAGAACTCAGACTCTGAAGGCTTTCAAATTACATATCTTAACAGTTATTAAGAACCAAATTAACAGGAATTAAAATGTGCTCCAACTTCCGGCTAACTGTAAAACTAACTAACTGATATCCCTCAGACCAGAGCAGCCCCATCTTCCACCCATTGATCCCGCACTACCACTCTAAATCAGCCCCACCCGAAACTACCATAAAGTTTCACCCATTTATCTACAACACAATCCACCCAACCTGCACCAGTATCTTCTTACCAAAGTGCCACCCTATCCTCTAACACACCTGCCACATTACACCCACACCCACTTACCTTATACGCTGAATTTCTCTCAGCAATTGCCAAAGAGTTATCACAACCTTTAAATCCTGGAATATGACAGCTCATGACAATAAAAGGGGGAAGTTTTGACACCAAACCATGCTAGCTGCTTCAGCTGGCCCACCTTCGGAGGCAAATCTATCTCCACTTGGCAAGATTGCCCTATGCCAAACGCACAGCTGCTGGACTGTTAATTAGTTCAGGATGGGACTTCTACCCCCATGCATATCCTGCCTCCAAGAAACGCTGGGATCGTGGCCATTGCTGGGACTGCGGGCAGTCCACCACAGCAAAGAAAACCATTGATACAGATTCAAAGGTTGAATGGGATGTTTCACTTGGGCAAGTCTGGCATGTCTTACCAAGGGTAGGGCAGAGGGCAGTGAGGAATCGGGGACAGCCTCTCTTGGTCATAGAGCTCCTTAACATGCTCTCCGTATCCACTTACCCGCTACCCTCTCAGCTTATAAAAAGGATGCCTGGTTTCACATACCATCAATTGACAAGTTAAGTACATCAACTGACCCACTCCATCCTCGAGTGAGGAGTCCTGTTTTTCACATCAAACTTTCTTATTGAATTAGGAATGAGGACAATCTACTGCTATAAACGCTGCTAAACCAGCTCAAGGTATGTCAGGGTGTCTCAATCCCAATTCCACAGCTAGTTCTAACTGATTAATCAATACTTGATGCTTTAATAAGCCAAGATAAACAAAATAAATCACAGCATCACATTCATCAACAATTCAAACATTTTTAAACTGCATTCATTTGCTTATCTTTGTACAGCGAACACATGCAAAATATCAGGGCTGAACCAAGTATTCCCACACTTAGTTCCACTGTGCCTGAAATATGAAAATGTCTATGTCACATCTTCATGGTTACTTTGCATAGAAAGAGTAAAACCATTTTGGTTTGGTTCTGGGCAACTGCACCTTTTAGTGAGACTCCTGCTCTGCTTTCTCTGCCACTGAAGGTGGACACAGGTAATACTTCTGCATTTTCGTGTTTCACTGTAGATAATATGTCTCATAAGCTAATGGACAGATTTCAAGGAAACCTGGCACACAGGTAGGCAAGATCAACATCCAAGGAATAAATGATTAGTTTAGGCAAAGCTGTACATCTGAATCCTGGATATCATTAATGTATCTTTAAAACTGGAAGACAGGGTAAATTGACATTTTTTCAAAAAAATGTGCTATGGGTGCATTTATTTCTAGCAATGCTGTTGGTTTTCGACTGTTGCGGGTTCTCTCAGCTACTGGGGTGGAAATTCGTCACGGCTTTCAAAATGTCAGAGTTTTATGGGCAGGTGTTAGATGTGAATTGGTCTGATGTCTCCTCAGTGACATGGAAGCTTTTTTTTCAGTTTCGTAGCAACCAGAGTCAGCCTGCATGGTTTAAATTTAATGACAGCTTAGCAGAAATCATCAGTCATCATCTAACTTGTGTGTTCTCCATGGCAATGTCTCTACTAATCTTTCCACTCAAATCGACACTTTCTTCCTATACAGTCAAAAATATTATTCCCCTTTACATGGCTATGTTTACAAACATCATGATTGAAAGATGAAAAGCTTCGACAAAAAAAAAGCAATACTCAAGAACTGTATTAACAAAATAAATAAAATCACCATAATCATTAGACAGAGATGACTGGTATGGTTTAAACTGAGGGTCATCATGTCTCAGGCAAAGGGAGAGGTTGAGAAAGAGAGAGGTCTTCATGGTAACCTCAGCCGTTGTGGGGAGCAAACCCATGCTTCAGTGTCTCTCTACATCCTAAACGGGTCTTCCAGCCAACTGGGCTAAACGGCCCCCGCTAACTAACAAAATGCTATGTGAAAAACTGCTTACCTGAAAGTACAAGGCTACTGATGACCTGGACATTAAATTGTTGAAATGCTCATGAAACTGCGGTGAGAGAATGTCTTGTGCACACACCTCATATGGGTCAAATACTTGCTCCTGCACACAATAAAAGAGTTTTAGTTTGTTTCGCACATTCTACATATTTGATTTTGCTTAAAAAACTGTTGATTTATTTGCAAGGTTAATACAATAAATGTGCTGCTTATTACAATTATTATTCTGAAAATTAGAGTCATAGACTACAGCACAGAAAAAGGCCCATTGGCTCATTGAGTCTACACTGCTCAAAAACCACCACCTAACTATTCTAAGATAACAAGGTGTAGAGCTGGATGAACACAGCAGGCCAAGCAGCATCAGAGGAACAGGAAGGCTGACGTTACGGGCCTAGACCCTTCTTCAGAAATGCTTGTTTCAGGAGTTGCAGGGAGAAACGCTTCTGAAGGATCTCAATGTTCTGAATGTAGACATTGTCACAGTTGGGGCCAAATTGGGAAAGCCTGAATGTGGATTGTAGTCCATTGGGGATGATCTGGTTCCGTAGGCAGGTACTAAGAAAGGTGATGTGGCTGTAGTACCTGGTTTGCTTCAGGACATGGTCGAGCAGTTTCAAGGCCAAAGAGATTACGAGAGAGTTGCAGTGGGAGAGAGATCCACTGAGGTTTTTCCGGAGGGAGGAGGGTAACTTCTTCAGAGTAGGCAT